TGACAATTCAGGGATCTATGCCAGTGAAGCTCTGAGACCGGTTTACCATGAGCATGTGACGAAGGGGGTTGGAGCCGACAGGCAAGGCTCTGTGAAGTCAGTGGGAGCCCTGTCTCTTCTCCATCGTCCTCTCTCAGCTATATGCCCCATTCGTCGAATTGGGGTGTGTGCAAGTTATGGGAGCATCTACGTCCGTAAGGATCATTTTACACAGCTAACAGCAGGTGCCTGGACAAGACCGTGCTGACGCCGGTCGCTTTCAGTTCACGACATGCAGCCGTTTTCTGCACGCGAGTTCAACCTGACGCACACGGTCAGGCACCTCTCCTTCGGGACAACGTCCCCGGCAAGACGAACCCCCTGGACGGACTACGCTCCGTGGCGGAAAAAGGTCGGTCAGAATCACCATCGCACACTGTCACCTTGCAACAAGGTAAACTGTGTAGGAGTACATGACGGTCAGTTCTGTTAGAATAACGGAAGATGCTGTGCGTTGTACCCACAATGCAGACCAAACGACTCGCAGGTTTACGCCAGCTGGAAACGGCGATTGTACTCAGATTTGTGTTAGGACTGACTGACCAGTTTTTTTCATTCGTTGAGCTATTCAAAAGTGTTGTCAACATTGAGGGTCGATAACACAGGTCATCGCTAGGGTGCACTGACATTGCGTCTTGCATTTAATTATCAGAGAATGTGTGAAGGGCCATGGTTTTAAACAATCAACCATGTACCTTCATCCGTGGAGTAATCTGACCATCGGCGGCGCGGTCATGCCGCACGCTCGATGGGTCGGCCAGTGAGTGGAACCCACTCTTGCTGTGTTTCGGGTCCGCCCATCAGGTCATGCATAATACAAGATAAGCCCCAAGAAATACACTCGATCAGTTGTATGCCCGAGAAAATCGCAGATGTGCCGATATATAGGAGATTATGGATTACTGTGGATATCTTTACGTAGATGTGTCTGTGCCGAACAATCCTACGATTTCAGGCCCATTCTTGTTTTCCAATTATTCCACTATTTTACGACGGCTAGCGGCAGCGCGCGGCCAGCGCGGACCGCTACAGCTTAGTGTCCAGCACGCACTGTATGTAATCCTGTGGTATGTAACCCCTGGCACACTGCATCATTGACTTACTGAATGAAACGACTAGCTATTCCATTGGCTTCCAGTAAGGTACCTAAGGCACTGCTTTACCAAATTCAGCGCGCGCTTCGGCATCTTTTCAAAATAGTTGCATAACATTAAATCGTGGTTAAACTTAGTTTGTCGGGATGCATTTCAACTCAATGACCTCAACTAATCCAGACCTATAATTATGCGAACGACCAAATGTGCCCATAACGTTGCCTTCAATTGTATATGCTATGTGTGGTATGCATAATGGTTGTGCCATTTTAATAGTATTTTGCTTCGGTTTATCTTTTTAGAAATATGGGGCGACCACCCGCCGAAAACTTAGACAGTGAAGCATGCCTGATCTAGCATGAGCCATGGTGTTTGGCTAAAGGTCTTAACTAGGACAGATATCCGGCCATCATCTATATATATATATATATATATATATATATATATTATATATATATATATATTATATATATATACATATATATATATATTATATGAAGGCCATGGTTCGGTACATTTATTTGAAATCACCACCCGCAGCTGAAGCCGACGCGTGACAGCGTTTGTGGCGTCGATAAGACTAAGCAAGGAGCGAAATTCGTAGGTATGAAGGTCAAGTGGGAGATTAATTAGCTTGAGCGCACGTGGAAAGACATACAAAGGTCATAGCCATGCATCCGCCTGGTCGGCCGGACCGCGCTTCAGCGCCTGACCGTCCCCAGGAGGCTGGCGTCGCCACGTAGGTATTCGGTAATGCGAAGACACCAAACTGTGAGACGCCATACGAATTATGCGCCCTGTGAAACGAATGCCGGGAAACAACCGACGACCGTAATGATGCGGTCATCCGCTGTTTCACGAAATGAGTACAGAGTTTTACATCATTCCGTGCAACGCCCAGCGACGCCCCGTCACTGGTATATTGACGGCCGTTTTTTTCCGCTATGGTGTGGCACGGCTCATGGTCACTAGGTATCTGAAAGAAGGCAGTTCGAGACAAAGTTGTTTCTACGGCCTAGGTGATATGCGGACTGTTTCAGCCTTCTTTCAGAACACTGGTTTGGTGGAGAATCACTCGAAATTTTTCATAAATTCCAAAAGGCTTCTGTGCATGACTTTCTGTTCGGAGCATCGTTTAAGCAAAGCTTGTTGCGTATTCCCAGAGCACGCGTTCCAAGTTCTTCCGCGTAATTAAATTCGGACCATGAACGTTGACGGCGAACATCACTTGAGCACATGACACCTTCACCCCCGTCGGCCATGCTTGCACACGAAACTCTGTTGCGTGTTAACCAGTCGCTGAAATGGGCTGAATTGTTTAGAATGTGCCTTCGAAACCGCACGGGGCGCATCATATGTTCCGATAAATGTCCGTTCGATGCAGGCGGTCCAATATACTTCCAGACTCTTGAGGATAAATCTCAAAGACAGGTCAGTGTTTTCTCCCAAAGCCTTTATTTTACACGGGGTTATACTATAAATTCCACAACTTGACGTTTGCGTACATTGCACTCCATAACACGACTCCAAAATAATGATCAGACTCAGCGGGCTGAATTGTTTAGAATGTGCCTTCGAAACCGCACGGGGCGCATCAAATGTTCCGATAAATGTCCGTTCGATGCAGGCGGTCCAATATACTTCCAGACTCGTGAGGACAAATTTCAAAAACAGGTCAGTGTTTTCTCCCAAAGCCTTTATTTTACACGGGGTTATACTATAAATTCCACAACTTGACGTTTGCGTACATTGCACTCCATAACACGACTCCAAAATAATGATCAGACTCAGCAATCATTCTGGTGAAATACACACATGTAGACGAGACCCTTCAGCACCGGATTCCCGTGCCTATTGCCATGAACGTGCCGAAGGTACCGCCACCTTGGAGCATCACTTTGCCCACATTGTTGATCAGCTCCCGGCCACGAAGCCCGTACCTGAAGCAAACAGGTGTAAATCAGCCGAGGGTGGGAATTATTACGAGCGGGGCCGCAGGCAGATCGAGGCTTGCTCGAGCGGGGTGATGACGACGATGGACGATCCCGGGGATTTCCGTCAGGATTTCTACAAACCTGGTGCGATTGTCGCAATTCTGACAAAGTTTTTTGGTAAGAAATCTTAAAGGGGGCGTTCCCCATTTGGATGGGGTTTTGAACTGAGAAGGTCGTCTTGAAGATTATTCGGTGAAGTTCACATCTCTCCCCTTCTCAAGACCTAAAGCCCTATAGTTTTTTAGCTATACGGCCGTGAACATGTGCAGACTATTTGAATCACCCAGGCATATATGACGCCATAACAATGTCACTCAACTTTGCCATACCGCGAGCTATGCATAGCTGACCCTCAGTGTCCATGCCACAGGACAGCTGAACACCAATACCCCGAACACAGAGATGGCTGGCCATCCATACCCAGACCACACAGCTGGCTGGCCGTCGTTGCCCTGACCAGAGAAGTCTGACGATCGTTGCCCAGACCACATGGATGGCTGATCATCACCACCCAGACCACAGAGACAGCTGACCATCACTACCCATACCACAGAGATGGCTGACTGCCCAGACCACAGAGATGGCTGACTAGACCTCAGAGGCAGCTGTGGCCACGAGTATGACCCAAAGTATGACTTCTTACCTCAGTGCAGAAAAGCCTCCAAAAATAGCTCCGCTTGCCATGCCGACGCAGAATCCAATTCCAAATCCCATCTTCATCCTGTCAAAGCAGCTGGGCCCTTGGGCTCCATATCCCGCAGGAACTGGCATGTTTCACCTGGAACAGGATCGCCAAACTTTGGAGACATGTAAAACATGGTATCAAACACCCTGTGTCATGGGAAGTCACCGTATGGAATTACGCGATTTCTTGCCTGGCACTCACTGCTACCAATGCTGGTTAGCAGCACTTTGCAATAAATGGCATTCTTCCTTCCCCTTCTGTTAGGTGGCGTGTTGATATGCTTCTGTGTACATCAGCATGTGTTGGCATGTTGCTTGCGGTAGCAAGCGACATGCCAATACGTGTTGCGTGGTCGTATTTCGGCGTTCTGTCATCCCACCTTTCACAAGGTTGGTTGCAGCAATGGCCAATAGCCGGATACTTTTTGGTGAAGCAGAAACTGGCCTTGGTGATGCAAACAGCTTCTTAGAGGAGGTAGAAATACAAAACATTGCAAGTGCGTAATGTGATACTATTTATTTTTAATATCCCCAATATCCTCTGGCATGCACCATTCCATGGTCTTCACATCTATGAATAGTACTCCATTGTGGCTGTTTTAATCAGTGAAAGACAATGTACAAAGGGGCAATTCCTTGATAAAGCCTGGATTTGTGCAAGTAATGAATTGAAAGGTGAATCATGCTTTTCAGCATGAGCAGTATGGCTGGTTTCCACCAAGCAGCAAGTGTCCCAGGGTCACATGGGTGTGGCTTGCTGGAATTTTTCAGTCACATCTCCTTCATAACTTCTCAGTTTTGTCAGATCAGAGCCCATAAAGGTGAGAAAGACTCACAAACCCATGTGCCAGCCATGTGCTAAGAACCCCCTAGTTGTTATGACCAGACAATCATCAAAGATCCTTAAAACACCCTTGAGATCCAGGCACATGCCTGCAATGTGCAAAGGGAATTATTAATGCAACTATGCATGCTTCAAATGTAAATGAGGCAGCTTGAAGCACCGAAAAATCTGAGCACTTGGCATTCACATTATTTTAGAAACCACACCCAGGTATAGTGTGCAGACTGACAAACAAAAAAAAAACAGGTGAAGTAAGGAGGTAGTATTAATCCATTCCAGCACTAAATTGGATTTAAACAAAAGGTTGGGGGCAGTCTAAGTCTAGTAAGAGGAAACAATGGAAATTATTAGCAGGTCAGTCTGTGAGCACGCAGTGCACCGATATATCAATTACAAGATTTTGACTGTTTACTATATGCTGTGGTAGGAGTGTTGTTTTTGTCATGGGCATGAGAATGGATGGATCCATCAGTATCATTGGTGTTGTTTGTGTGTTAGTATTGGGGCTTTGCACACTTCCAACACATGGTCATATATTGGCAATGTTCTGTTGGTGTGTGCCAACACCCATCTGTCCAAGATGATTAACATTAACCACATCGGGAACATACATATGGAACAGGTTCAAAGTTACTTTGGCACTTTGTTTTTTAAAAGTGGGCTTTGCTTATAGCTTTCAGTGACCAGTTTCTGCTTTGATTTATGCGATGGCAACTTGTAATGTCCAAGGGTCAGCCAGCAATACCAACATCTTTCTGACAAGCTCAAGTTGCACTGGCAGTAGACTCTCAGATATAGGCTGCGAAAGGCCAATTTTTTTAGACCATGCACTGAAAAATGTCAAATAAGGGGCCCTTCACGAATACACTTACGCACGCACCGAAAACTGGCCCACATGCGACGCCGGCAGCGCGAATGGAGGCCGCGCGGAGCCGGCGAGGATGGACGGAACCAAGGTTTACGAAAAATGGCTCCCTTTTAGCCGGTTACCAAAGATAAATTAAAATAGTCAAAATGGACACTGCTACCGGGTGAGATCAATCATACTTCAAATAAACATTTCACCATCGATTGGATTATTGCCATCAATGCAGATATTTCCACCACCGGTTAAACGAATTTTAACCGAAAAGTCTACTTAAGTCACCACATACAGAAGGAAACGGTAAGAAAGGATCATTTTCATCAGACTGGCTGAGGTTCCACCAGATAGCTGAAACAGATCACTAAGGTATGGAAGGAATTTGCAATATATTGCAAATTAAGTGTCTCAGTTTTATACTGGTTGTTTTTGTACAGAAAGTCGTTCTTCCCGGTATTTATTACCCCGCTGCATATTACCAGCGAGCCGATTGCGTAGGATTTATGGCAAGTGTGATGGTGTGTTTTGCAAACCCGTGCTGCTAAGTGATGAAACACAAAGGCTTGAAAAGTGAAAACGTACACACGAGAATTGTAGGGGGTATGACGGGGCCAGAACATCCGGCTTTCTTCTTATCGATAATGAGTGAACCGTGGGTGCCAGGTGCACATCATCAGCCAGCCAGTCGCGTAGAATTTAAATTCGAATACTATGATGTGCTATGCAAGCTTACGCAGCCAACACTTACACTGCAGTTGGCATGGAAATTGAAAATGTTTACGCCAGAACTTCTGCCGAGGTTGGTGGGCGGGGACATAAGACTGCCTTCCTGCCGATAATGAAGAAATTTTTGGAGGTAGGTGCATGTAAACATGGAGCCGAATGCGTAGAATTCGATGTTGTATGATTATGTGCCTAGTGGATGAAGTGCGCAATCAGCTTGAAAGTAGCGAAAGCACGCACTTGAAAATGTACGAGTGTGCCTTTTATGCCAGTAGCAGGTAGATTATTTCTGGTGCGTGCATTAAGCCGCGAGCCAATCAGGTAGAAGTAGATGGATGATAGGATCATGTGCTTTGCGAGCGTAAATTCAGCAAAGTCGTTCGAATTAGATCGGCGTGGGATGTAAACATGCCTGCGCAGAGGGAGCAGGTACTTCGGAGCGGGGATGGAGAGGGCTGTCACCCTTTCTCCTCAAGTGTGGAGAAAGTCCGTTGCCCCCGGCGCCGAATCAGGAGTCGTCGAATATTCCACGGTGTGCAGTGATCTCACATTTGTTTTTTACGAGGAAGGGGGTATTCCACATTCGTACGGCTTTGGACTGAAATAGTGATATTGAAGATCATTCGGGCAGTTCACAATCCTGCCCTTAATGGAAATGTTCCAAAATTTATCCAAAATTTAAAGATATCGAAACAAGCGACAGATATGATGAAATACGGTCGCTCATAAGTTTTGGCATACTTTTCGGTGGAAGTTATGGATCTAAACAACAGAATTACTCTTCTTAGTAAATATCCCTCTCAATGCGTCCTTGTTTGATTGCGTCATCTTACCTGTGCAACTTGGATCCCTTGCAATTCTACCCACTTTGGCATTAAACATAGCACCGCACATCAACGTCTCGGGAACGCAGCACACATGGCTTGACACTCACGGTGACTATTCAGACAGGAAGGGACCGAGCACTGTCAGCCCCGCGCACAGGTACGGACCGAGCACGACAGGCCCCATAGGCAGGCACAGGCTGAGCACGCCGGAATGCAGGCAGGTACGGACTAAACACAAATGGCCCTGCTGGCAGGTGCGGACCGAGCACAGCAAGATGTAGATGGGCACGGACTCAGCGCGGCGCATCTGGGACGCATCTAGTGCATGTAGCGCAAACACATGTTTTGCTGTTTTGCCTTTCCTCCCAACTTATTTTGCAAAATTACTCTCCTGTGCTCGATCTTATCCCAGTGTAAGAACTGGTGGTGATTTTACGGATCTATTTGACCGATCGGATTTGCTAATGAATTCCTGCAATCCATAATTCGTCAACCACCCGTGGTGTGGTAGCCAATAGTTTTAGATTGTTTGCATCTCGTTCGTGGTGTATTTTCAGGCACCCATGCTTAATTAAACCGGTGTTTCAATATACGTTGATAAACGCGGAGCCGGTAACATGCGGAATAGGAGAGGTTTAAGGACTGCCAAACCTGGTGACAACCCCATGCCCCGAGCCCATGAAACTGATTGTCACCAAACTTCCATTATTCGAAGCCGCTTGGTCGGTAACTCACCCTGTCCTGAAGGTGGTAACATTAGGCCAGGTCTAAGGTCGTCAACAATGCTCCAAACGGGAAAGATAGTTTGCACGCAACCGCATGCTCCGAGCCTATGTAACCGATGTACACAAAGCATTGGCCTTTCGATTTGTCGTAGTCGTTATACTGTCCCTTCCAAAAGATAGTGACCTTGAGCCTGGTCAAAGGCCGCCAGAAACGCCCGAAGCCGTCAAGCATCAGTTTGCGGACGGCCCTGTGCTCCGAGCCTATGTCACCGGTTGGCCCAAAACCTGTACCTATCAATACGCCATTGTCGATAACTTATTCTTCGCAGAAGTTTATGACCTAGGGTCAAGTCAACGGGCACCAAAAGCTTACGGGGCCGGCGAAAGCAGTTCGCAGGCAACCCCATCCGTTTGGTCTATGGGAGCCAGAGCCAGTCAGCCCAAAAAATCTACACAAATCGATGCGCAGTTGTCGATAATCTTCCCTTTCTAAAAGAGTGTGATCTTTGGTCGGATGAAAAGGCACAAAAGGTCCTGAATTTCTTAAATTTACTGCAGATAGCCCCATACTGCGATTCTTGAGACATCGCCACAAAAAGACATCGCCATCAGTGTATGCTGGAAAGAGTATTTTCGACCATGGTGCAACGATTTGGAAGGGTTTCGTGCCGGTCGGTCCCATAGGCAACTTAATTGTAGAAGGAACAAGTTGACCAGAAAGTCATTTTGAAAGAGGGCGGCGTGACAAGCATGCATCCCTGGGTAAATTGGAAGAGACAAAATAACCGCAAAATTTGGAGGTCCCCACCTTCATCCCAACCATTGGTTACACAAATCGCCAGTGAGATTGGCCCAGACCAATAGACAAACGCTACTGAAAGTCACAGTACAGATTCGGACAGGGATTTTTCAATATTCCTGTCCATGGTGCGATTTCAATCATCATCGGATTCACACAATTCGTTGTGGCAATATTGAAGAATAGTTTCTACTTATCTGACTTACCCTTTGTCGACAAACGTTTAAACAACTTGGTTTTTGTTTAGAAAAAAATGAAGCCCCATACACGTTGCGCTATTTTTGCTAAGCATCACTGTGGAAAAACATCAAGCGCGTGACAGATTTGGACCATTGTCGAGTCTTCCCAGTGATGTTGCCTATTTTGAAAATGGAAAAATATTAAAAATGTCTTGAGAGAAGAGCAAATGAACAGGGTTTAGGCGCGCCTGATGACAATGGCTCGAATGGGCACTTAAAGGCGAGATGGAGACCTGATATCACCAGAATCAGCATGCCTGGCGAAATTGCAAGCATTGTTTTCTGGTGGAGTCAAGTGACTGAGTAATTTTGTAGTTGAAACATGTCCGCAGTGCACCGAACTGCTGAGGTAAGTTCTTTTCGCTCGCAGACGCTTATTACGCAGATGACATGTGTCAATACATAGTCTATGTTATAACTCAATAAGCTATCTTTGGTAACTATTAACTCAATTACCACGGTAACCTAAGTACGTCATAGAAATGATAATGCTAGGAATTGTTACTGTTGCAGTCCTGTGAGACGGATGGAATGTTCTGCAGACACAATGTGGGCCATGGCTGTGACGACATCAGAGGTTTTTTTCCAGCTGGAGGGCTGGCGGTGGACTGAATGTAAGGGCAAGCGGGCGCCTTGGAGGCCGAGGCCCGGGAGTGGTGCTGACACTGGCCGGCAGTGGGCGGTGACAGCGTCGCAGGCTAGCGTCAGATGGCGAACGGCGACGGGCTCACAGGCCCGTGTTTGTCAGAGAAATCCCGCTTGTGGTGTGTGAAGGCAGGCTTGGAAACGCCTTCAGTTTTGATAGTGGCTTTGAAGGTCCCGAGTCTCCTGGGCCGTTCAGCAGTTGATAGGCCGTCACCCTTGTGGATGGGAGATGGTGGAATTGCAATAGTGAAATGCAGTCATTGCGCGAGCGCTGGGTGGTTTCAATTTTATTTTCACTACAGGAGCACTTCATCAAAAGCATGTGTCTTATTAGTGCATGCGTTGAATCAGATGGATCCGAACAAATATTACCAATGGCAAGTCCAGGTCCAGTGGGCACGACGGCAGCCAGGGTAGCGGCGCCAGATTTGTCATTCGAAAGGGTCCCGCGGTGGTGCGTGGTGGCTTGATCTGAGAGGTATGCATAAATGTGCACACTTATCTGTGGCGTTGGCAGACATCTGCCTCTGGGATGACTAGTTGCGAGTTTAGATCTCTGGATTCAGGGAGAATTTCTAGCAGCACTGTAGAGCACCTATGTATGTCAGAAACTAGTGGTTGCGAAAGCCAAGACCGAGTGGTGCATTTTTGTGAGTGAGAATATTATATATAGAATGATATTTTCAGTAGCTATATAAGGGATTTGAGATATTTGCTGGTTTTACCATTTTACCCCCAAAGCCTTGTTCTGTGGTTGTTAAACATTTCACTATGAATCTGGGAGTTGTTTCTCGTTATTTCAATAAACCTTTCATGGATGGATTATATTAAGGGTACCTATCACACAAAGCATCTGAGGGATTACCCAGTACTGCCCTCTATTGGGAGAAATGGGAACTACTGTCGTCTGACTTGCGCGAATGGACGCACCACTGTACAGTCCCGCTCTCTCCTTCTCGGCGACCTGCCTCGCCCAGAACGTATGATTTCGCCTGGGCGATGTGCATCCCAATGTGAGCGTGACTGTGACCGCCGAACAATCATGACATGCTTTTGTTTCAGGTGGAACTATGTACAAATATTTTGTCAAGATCGTCCCAACGATGTGGCAGAGAAGAGATGATTTTACTTTGTTTACAAACCAGTTTTCCGTCACCCGTTACCACCAGGTGAGTGGAACCTGTTGACTGTTGCGTTCGTGTGAAGGGCATGGGATGTGGGTACGGATAAACCTTGAATATTACAAATTCAGTAGCATCCGGCCAAAGGTCGGCTTAAAGGGGGCATTCCACATTTGTGGACGGTTTTGAACTGAAAGAGCCATTTTGAAGATCATTCGGCGCCGTTTACAGCCCTGCTCTTCTTAGGACCTAAACTCCTCTAGTATCTGAGGTATGTGCCCGCGATGGTGTGCAGACCTTTTCGTGCAGACTATTTCAAGGTCGCCCAGACATTCATGACGCCATAAGAGCGTCATTTAAATCTTACTACCTCATTAACTATGCGGTGATCAAGGCGAAGAACATATAGTTGTCGAGCCGTTCATACCTGGTGTATGTGAAGACAATTTCAAGATAAAACGGTCGTCTTTTGGCTCGAAATCAATTTCTAGGTACGATGGCGCAATAAAACAATGACGTATTCAGGAGCATATTTACTAAATAGAGACATTTTGCTGTTTAGAGCAATGTTTTCCACTTAATGCATAACAGAAGCTTTAAGTGAGCTTATTTCATCATATCTGATTCTTGCTTCAATATTTTCAACTGTGGAACATTCCGTTTAATATTAGCATGTTGCCGGTATTGTTCCACTTCAAGAATGAAAACTCCGCAACCAGGGACGCAGCCTTGGCAACGGGGCATCGGGGTGACGAAGGACTCTATGCTGGTGAAAGACCCATCATTGGAACAGGACGTCCAATTGGCCTTTTGCTCTTTTATGGTTTCCCTTTAAACTTAAAGAGAGCGCAGAAGCTTTCTTTGGCTACATTTAGACGGCATAAAAATGAATGAAATGTGTGCTAGTCACTGCATGAAATAAATTCCGAGTGTCATCAGTTTTGAAATGGTTCACTTGGTTCTTTCTAAACCAATAACAGTTATGAACGTTGTCGGGTTTTGGGGGTCTTATATGGAGAGATATGGATATTGATAAGATATCGAAACAAAGTATATTGATGGGTCCCATGAATTAAGCGTCTTAAGATCGCACTCAAAATGGGACCAACAATTTGTACGAACATGGCCAACCCATGTTAAGCTGGACATGGTCAACCTTTCTTCAGAATTAATTCGTGAAGGAAATGCTGTTGGACAGACTAGGACTAGTTGTCTCGCTTTTTCGCCACGGAATTTCGATACAATCAAGGGGTAAGGTATCCCGTTTTTGTTTTGTATCTTCTTGCGTTGCATGGATGTTTGTGTATTTGGGGGAAAATTGAACTGCGGTTAGCTTCAGTGGCCGTCCCGATATCGGGCCAAAGAGAATGAATTGTGTGTGATGATGTGCCTGGTGCGTTGGTAAGGTGTCACATGTACTGGAGTCATACCTACTTTTCAATATGAAAAAAATTATCTTACGATTCCTGAAAGCAAATGTGATCAAACACACAAGACCGGTGTCTCGAGCGTTCGCGAGAGCAGAGTTCCCCGTTGGTCCGGGATGAATGTGCCCGCTGAGATTAGATCGTAAGACACACTTCGTGCAGGTAACGGGCGCCGGGCCAGCCAGGCTTTACATGTGCGTCTAGTATGCAACGGCGCTTATGACGGCCAAAATCGATGTCCTTGACGAAGCTGATAAGTTGTTAGGATGTTGAATGTTTGTCTACCCCGTTGTCAAACATTGAAAAGTGGGAGCCGGCGCGCGATGAGTGCAGGCCTGTAGACATTCGCGGTTGAGCCAACCTAGTATTTATGGGCATATGCCATTCTCAACATTCTGTGACAATTTCAGGCGTTGAACGAGTTTTCTGACGGGAGCTCGGCCCCGGGCGTGTTCTTCGTGTACGAGTTTGCCCCGCTGATGGTCAAGTACAGCGAAAAAGTCAAGTGAGTTGTCTTTGCGTAATACTAAACTGCATGCTGTTGAAACAAATAGTCGACACGAAATGACTACCATTTTGGTTCTATATAAGCTTCAGCCTGCCGCTTCATCACACTGGTGGTCAGCTTTGAAAGCATCAGCACTGCCAGCGCGTGGCCGCCTGGTCACGTGTCGCGAGCGCTGGGTGTTCGCTGGTCGGTGGTGTCCGGTAGAGACCAGCGGTGATCGGCCTCTGCTCCGCCCCCAGGTCGGTCGGTCATTTTGCCACTAACCTCTGCGCCATTGTCGGCGGCGTCTTCACCGTGGCCAGTCTTCTGGACGCCTTCATCTTCCACTCGGTCCGTGCCATCCAGAAGAAGATAGAGTTGGGAAAGCAGGGCTGACGTAGAGCCCTGAGTAGACGAGTGGCCTTCGGTAGAGCTACACCAACGGTCTTCGCCATGTTTTGACGCGTGGTGAACGGGTCAGGTACAGCTTTCTGATGGAGGTGGGCAAACGGGCCTCGTCGTAATATCTAGGATGCTAGAGATGATCGATGAAGGCTACCTGATGGGTCCAGTGATGGTGGTTTACGGGGGAGGGGAAAGACCGGTGAGGTTCATTGTATACGTGCTGGGGTGTGCTGACGCTCTTGGGATGCTGCTGTTGTGCTATGTCTTGTTTTGCCCCGTTGCAACGCGGCGTATCTCACACACCAGTTGTGGGTGGTTGTCGCACTGCTTGCTCTCGTGCACCGGTGCACAGTAAACGTGTCACTTGCGCCCATGAAATTAGCAGAGGAAAGCAGCGGTTCATCTTGAGATGACGTATTTGAGGCCTTCGTGAGGGAGGTTTGTCTTGCGCTTTCAACTCTGTGGATCTTTGCCGTGTCGTCGGTGGTAAACGTAGGCGTAAATCACTGACACAGGTGGGCACACATGATGAATGTGTTTTATCTCGCTGCAACCAATGTCTTGACTTTGTCGGGTCCTGCGCATGGTCTCCCCGGAGAGATTGTGCTCTAACTGTCCTGAGCTGGTGGAACTTCTTATTACACTATGCATGTTGTTTGGGTATTGTGTGTCGTGTGTTACAGGAATGGTTTCTTGTGTTGTTTTATACCCGTCCGATAAAGGCTTTACTGGAATTTTTGTATGGATTCATGCCACCATGTTTAGGCTACGAACCACCTTTTTGATTGCCGGTGTTGATAGCGTTATTAAAGTGTTTTGCCTTGTTTTGCTGAGTGCGGAAAGTCCTGTGGAAATCAATACGAGAATATGTAAACAAAGATTGTGCAAATGAGAAAGCGAAAATTCATTCATTCCAGCCTTCATCGACCTGAGCCAAACTAAAGAGCACCAGGTCACTGCAAAAAGTGTTGCACGTGTAGTAAAAAATCATCCGAAAACAAGGCCGAGCACTACGGAAGAGGACTGAAAAGGTTTGAAGTTAGGGTGATTATGTAGGGGTTTATATATTTTCAACAAAATAACATACGCCAATCAAACTAGCGATGTACTGCAGAACGAGAACAGGTACGAACAGATATTCAAAACCAAAACCGCAAGGGCTGAGGTGAAAGGGGGAGGTTTTGGACAGCGTAACGTTACGCTCGGGTGTGGTGGCCAGACGCGCCAACACTTCAGAAAGTTACGCCTCTGAATTCTTGTGATGACTAGGAACGGGCCCAGTTATTTGCTCCGCTCTTTAGCGCGATTGGAGGCCTAACAGACGTTCTTTTTTGGAAGGTTACCCATAACGCAGCGTAATCAGGAAAGGGAAGTTTCACCCAGCGCAACAGTGCATGACTAGGTACTGTCTTCTGCCCTAAAACTCTCGCGTAGACTCCGATGCCACACAGGCCACCCAGCACGGTCTCCGCAAAGGTTTATTGGCCGTAGCCAATACAAAAGTAACACCGATACATCCGCGGCGAAGTCTTGAGACAGAGAGCCCGAAAACGCGCGCCACGTCCGACCTCGGCTGGTACCGCGACAACAGCCAATCAGAATAGAGCGCGTCGCAGAACAGCTGTAGCACTTCCAGGTCAAGGACAAGGATAAGGTCAATCAAAGGCGGCCGACAACACCCTCACCTTACGAAAGAAAGGACGAAAGGACTACCACGTTTGCTACTCCAAACGATTAACATGTTTCATAACCCTACCACTCCGTGTGCGATACAAAGCATCAGACGATCCTCTGTTATCTGTCGACGGTGACCTGGCCACTTCGGGTTTAAACCCTACCACTCCGTGTGCGATACAAAGCATCAGACGATCCTCTGTTATCTGTCGACGGTGACCTGGCCACTTCGGGTTTAGCGGTCTCCTGGTCAACAGTTTGCGATACATCAGCGACTGTCGGAGCAGGCTCTGCAGCCCCAGACAACTGTCGGAGCAGGCTCCGCAGCCCCAGACGACTGTCGGAGCAGGCTCTGCAGCCCCAGATGACTGTCGGAGCAGGCTCTGCAGCCCCAGACGACTGTCGGAGCAGGCTCTGCAGCCCCAGACGACTGTCGGAGCAGGCTCTGCAGCCCCAGACAACTGTCGGAGCAGGCTCTGCAGCCCCAGACGCACTCACGGGCACGGCACTGGTGTGCGGAGCACTCGACACAGCAACAGTGACTCCAGCAGACACCTTCTTAATGTTCGACCCGCGAACAGGCGTCTTTTTCCTATCGCGAGCATAATGACGTAATCAGGTAATCAGCGATGACGTAATCAGGCCCCTGCACCTGATTGACAGTAGGGACCTTCGGAACAAAGCCTCAACTTCTTCGTTTTCCCACACCGAACAATTTGCACCTTCAACATAGCCTTGTCTCCGTCACAAATGTCACTTTCGTTTGGTACGCGAGACCTGTCCTGCTTAGCAGAATATTTCCCAACGCTTTAGCGTGATCAACAGTGAAATGCTCCCGCAGGTCACGCACGTACGAGTGATACGGCATACTCTTCACTTGGTCCCAGTCATCACCTAACTCCGACAGCAACGGTGCGTGTGGTGGAAACCCGTACAACAGCTCGAACGGCGTAAATCCAGTAGTACTGTGAATACTGCTCTTAAATGGGGAACAACATCAGCGGTAACCACTTGTCCCAACCTGACTGGTTGTCGTTCACAGAATACGCGGGACAATCACGAAGCGTTAGTTTAAACCGCTCTGGTCGTTTGTAGCCGCATGAACAGGTGTACAGCGCAGTTTTGTGACGCCAAACTTCTGACATAGAAGTCGGATCAGCTGACTTTCAAAGTTGATACCCTGATTTCAAGATCGACTTTGCAACCGAGTAGCGCGCAAACAGTCCCACAAAGCCATCTGCCACCGTCACGGCTGAAGCCAACCCAAGCTGTCAGGTCAGCCAAGCTGAACACCTCCACTCACTTAGTAAAAAGGTCGGACACAACAAAAATCGAGCAGTTCCCTGAACTGGACACGGGCAACCGTCTCAAAATGTCAGCTGACCACTGCCTAAAGGGTTCCCCAGCCAAGGGTACACCCCCAATGCCCTCCCTGTGGAGGACGGTTCGGTCCTCTCACTCGAGCACACAGCACCCACGTGCGACAGTATTCCCGTACGTCCTTCTTCACATTAAACCAGAAAACGTTGGGCGTGATTCTACCCAGCGTCCTATCGACACCGAAATGTGCCGCCGCAGCAATGTGGTGAGCAAGTTCGAACACTCTCGGCCGTACAGCACCAGGCATGACAATTTGTGGTTCACGGTCCGAGTTCGTAAGACGCTTCACAAGCCCATCCTCCGTGAAAAGGAAAGGTTATTGAGACAGATAGAATTTAAGTTTAACCTCATCGTCAGCAGCCTTGATTGGCTCACCTTGAACACACCGAATCACTTTCAAGAGCACTCTGTCCCTGGCCGTTTCCTCTCGCAGAACTCTCGAAGTCACAGCTTCCGGTTGCACCCAACCAGCCACAGGTGGCTTCGAGTCTGCCATAGATGGCGCTCAGGTACCAATAGAAGGCGACGTCCGCGCATCAGCAGTACGTGCAGCAGCTCGAGAGCCGTCGGCACGCGCGGCTCGGGCATCAGCATCATGCGCCGCCGCCGCTGCTGCAGTCAGCCTCGAGGCCTCGGCCCTCTGCGCAGCCACCGCCACGCCGAGAATTCCACCTGTTCCTGAAACTGGCCCTGTGTTATAAACAGACGGACGGCGCCCGGGTTGACCAGCATCTCTGGACCCTGGTCTCTCATGAAGCTGTGTGACGCGGGCCATAAACGTCACGTCATCTTCAGTCGCCCTCTGCTCGACGCCGCTCTCAGTCTTCTCGAACGCGTCGCGGGTCAGTGCGTCCACGTGTGGAATGTCGACCCCACGACGATGTTCCCCCTCAAAATCAAACAGCGAGAGATAAATGATCCACCTTGCTTAGCGACCAGATTGGCCATTCAGACCCCACAACTACTTAAGAGCCTGGCGTCTGTCACAACCAAGAACTTCACACCAGGAATGAAATGTCTAAAGCGACGCGCTGCCCTGATGACCGCCAGCAGCTCGTGCTCAGTCGTGCTGTAGCGACTTCCTGGATCAACCCACTTTCCAGAAGCGAACGTCACCACAAACTCAGTCAGTAGCAGAACGCTGAGTCAGGGTAGCACCACAACCCTGCTTGCAGGCATCGGTGGTCAGCTGGAAAGGCAGACCAGCCTCTGTTGGTCGAACCACTGGGAACGACGCGAGCGCAGCCCGCGGATCTTCAAAACTGTCATCACACTCCCTTGTCCACAAAAACTCAGACCGCTCACTCATCAGGACGCTGTCTCCGGTGTCTATCTGTCGCCGCTGACGAAAGGCATATAAGACATTGTGAAACAATTCGCCAAAGGAAAGGTTTTTACCATGTGGAGCTATTTCTGTCAGCGTAAAGAAATAATTTAAAGGGTAGGAAAAGATTGTAGGTACATCTGGCGGAGCTCACGTGACAAATCCCAAGTGAAACCTGACATTACATAGGGCACGGTGACATCTAGCGGATTGGGCGGCAGGTGCATTTTCAGTGGCGCCGCCTACAGCTTCCAAGACGCCACCTACGGTGATCGCGCAGTCTACGGAGGTGCCGCCGCCTACAGGGGACGCCGTCTACAAATCTACGCTCGATTTTTGAAAAACACAGAAAAATTTTGGAACTGGAGTCTACATGACAATCATTGGACCACCTGTGGCGATCAGGGATGTTGTTACTGTTGTGTCTCCCAACTGTTTATTAATGTTAACGTGAGTTCAATTTACAAAGTATGAACAAGCGAACCCCGCGGCACGGCGGCTCCGGGCAGACTGCCTCGCAAGGCCCGACAGTAGCGCCACTCGCGGTGCGCCCATGAACTACGACTACGATGCGACACGAGGCCACGATGCAACACCCTCCACCCCCATACGGGAGCTTCCCTACAGCCTGAAACGCAGCGGAGGTCGGATGGTGCGCGCTGATCGGCGCGGCTGCGTCTCGTGACGCGGCGCGCCGGCCGTGTGCGCCTGCCCCGTCCGCAGGGGCGGCGCACTGACGGCGCGCGGCTGCTCCGTCTGCTGGTACTCGGCGTTCGGCCCGTCAGGAGCTCGGTTCTGTTGAGCTGATTCCGGCTCCGTGGTGGTCTGGTCGTGACCACCTGCCTCCTCCCTGGCCGGTGCCGGTCGCTCTTCCTCCTCCTCTTCTCTCTCCCCGAGAGAGCTGTGAGCCTCCGGGATCTGATGCTGCTGCCGGACGGGAGCAGGGTCGGTCGGATGCTGCTGCGACGGCTCCAGCGGAGCTGACTCGGTCGGCTGCTGCTCTTCCAGTCTTGCTGTTGGCAGGAGCTGGTCCGCATGGCGGGCCCAGACGGCCTCGCCGACGTCTACTTGATACGAGACGGGGCCCGTGATGCCTACCACTTCGCCGCGCCGCCACCGTCGGGGGCCGCCATATGTCCGCGCCCACACGGTCTGGTCTACCCTGAACTGGCGCGACCTTCCTCCCGCTGCCTCCCTCTGGTCTTGCTGTTTCTCTTGTACATCTCGTGTGATGCTTGAGTGCACGAGGTCGAGCCTGGTGCGCATCGGACGCCCGAATATCACTTCCGTCGGCGTCCGACCTGTCGTCGAGTGTGGCGCCGCGCGGTATGCCATCAGAAACGTGCACAGCCGGCG